AGGATGGTGCTGCGCTGGCCCGGCTCGTAGACCCAGGCGCCGCATCGCTCGGTGCGGGTCGTGTCGAACAGGTCCGCGCTGCAGGTGCCGTTGCCACCTCCGTCGCCGCTGCTGCTGCTGTTGTTGTGCACGAAGCGGACGCACGCCTCGGGGGTGTCGTCGTGGACGGGGATGGCCTCGGGGAGCCACGGCGGCGCGTAGGAGGCGGTGTCCGCCGTCTCGCACTCGGGGATCAGACACCTGCAGCAGAGCTCACGGCCTCAGTGAAACAGCGGGGCCTATATTCATTTTTGACGTTTGTGATCACGACAGTGGTTAAATTGTTTTTATCGAAACGATATATATCGAATAGGTTCGCTCCTGTGCCATATTTCGATATGTCGTTTGTGTATCTTTGCGCGCACATGGCGGGCACGTGGCCGTCGGCCGTCGGGTCGGCGCGTCAGGCCTTCGCGGATGGTCGCCTTGAGATTACCTCGCCTGGCTTAAGACCCCCCAATCAGCAGACGAGACTTTGTCTGGCCCGAATCTACATGCAGAGAGCGTCACGCCTCGAACTTCGTCATGGCATGCCGCATCCTTCAAATTATTATTTTTATTTTTTTTGCGTGCGTTGTGACTTTTCTGAGAGAAAGTTATTCGTTGTTTTTTCCTCACGAAGACACACGACCTCACCTGTAGTTGAGCTCCTGCGCCGTGAACACGTAGGCGATCGTGTAGAGCGCCGAGAAGAGGATGGGCATGTTGATGGCGAGACAGTTGACGATCTGGAACGGGCCCAGCTTGCCGATCTGCAGCAGCACGCGGTCGACGGCCTCGGGGGCGACCCCGGCGGCGGCGGCCCTCCCGGAGGGCGACATGCCGGACGGCAACGGGGATGACCTGGCCGTCAGACACGGGCGGCGCCTCCGCTGCACTGGCTCGCCGGCCGGGGCCGCCGCCGGGCTCCCTACAGCTCGGGCGATAAGGCGGCCCGACTTGACGCTATGGCCCTTATTGGGCTGGCGTTCCGAGCCGCCGCGGCACAGCATCCTCGCGGGCGTGGACCGACACGGATTGAATGAAAAAGCAAGACCACAAAATCGCTACTTGGTTAATTTAGACGAGACGGCTTTCCGAGAAATCACAGCTTCAAGACTGTACTTCTGTTTTGTGCCACCCTGTGTCATCCAACATTTTCAAGTAAAAAAGATAAATAACGGTTTGAAAAAAAAATCAATTGTATAAATAATAATTGACATTTGTTTGACGCTGTTAAATTGTAGATTTTTCTGACACTGCAAATAAGCATGGCATGGTGCAGGGCTCAGGCCTCTCGCCATATTCGAGCCTTATATGCCGTCAGCATGGGCGGCCCCAAATTATGACAAGTGTGCCTGGCCTGGCAGGGTTGGCCCCGCCAACTGTAGCAGTTTGAACCGCACTGGACCGCATGCAGACGTGCACGTTTATTTTATGGGAGTATTAGTATTTTCTAGGTGATGGCGAATGCTGATAAGAACATAAGACTATGTTCATTGGTGTGATTGGCGAGTTATGGGAGGAAATAGTAGCGGGAACTGGATATGATGCCAATATTAAACAGAACTACAATTTTTTTTTTCATTCCTCGAAGGTAGATATGCACTTTATTATTTTATTTGACGTCAGTTCGAGTGATAACAATTTCGCGAAAGATGGCTGCTGCGATAATGATCGAGTAGCTCGGCACCTAAGCCCCGTAGGCCGCGCAGGAAGATAGCAACATGTGGAGTACTGCTAGGAAATACCCCGTAACATCGAGACCAAATCTGAGTGCGTCATCGATGGTGTTTCAGTCTCGCAAGAGAAAGTCACAGTCATATATTATTAGGTATAACGGGGTGACATTTACAAAAAAGTAAGCAGGTACGTCTTCAAACTTATAAAATAAAACTTAACATTATTAATATTATAAGCAACAGTGACATATTTGTACATCAAAGTACTGAAGAGTGACATCGCTCTCCGACAAGTGGAGATTTCTTTCCAAACACACAACTCTGCGAAGCTCCTATAGGCCTCGCCGCCTGCCGTTCGCAACACACCGACGCAACAATTTAGGATCAGTCAGCACCGGACAAAATCAATCGGTTGCACCCTTGGGAGGTCGGGGTGGCCGGGAAGCCAAGCGCCCGGGAGGTAGGCCGTCCCGTGCAGCAGCGCTGTCGAGCGGGCCGGCCCGCCCGGCGCCTGCCAGACGGGAGGCCGTGAAGATATCGCCACGGAAACCGTCCGTGACCGTGGTCGGCGTCGGGAGGTACGGGGAGGCTCGCCTACACGTCCTTGTGCTGCGCCGAGCTCCGCGACGGGCAGCACGTCCTGAAGCAGCACTGCCCCGCGCCCGCGCCCTCCGCCTCCTCCAGCGTCTCCGGCAGCGGCCGGCCCTTGGTCTCGGGGAACAGCAGCGCGAGCAGCCCGCTGGACAGCGACACGACGCCGAACAGCGTCAGTGGCAGCGACTCGTTCACGGTCGCCTGTGGCACGGGGGGCGCTTAACTTGTAATAGCGGTGCGGACAAAGGCACCTCATCTCCTCACAACACTACCGCAACTCACCAGCAGGGGCGTCTGCGGGGCCAGGACGATGCCGATCCGGCCCACCGTCATGCAGTAGTTCAGCATGGACTGGCGGACGTTGGTGGGGAACATCTCGGCGGTGACGACGTACATCAGGTTGATCGAGTTGATGACGGTGAACCTGCCGAGTATGTACAGCGCCACCACCAGCCACTGCAGGTCTGCGGGACGGGAGGCGCAACCGGTCAGCAGCATTCCGGGGAGAAACATCACGCGGCCTCGCACAGGGTGTCCTGTCCAGTCCACTCACCGGCAGGGACGCCCTGGATGGCGAGGCAGAAGACCCCGGCCACGACCAGGGTGCCGGCCACGGACCAGCGGCGGCCGGCGTTGTACTGCAGCCACAGCGAGAGCAGGTTGGACGGGATCTCCACCAGGCCCGACAGCGCAAAGTTGAGGTACTGGTCGCCCGAGAGCGTCACCGTGTTGAGCAGCAGGCCGTAGTACACGAAGAAGCTGGCCAGCCTGGAACAGCCACGGTGGCTGGAGATTTAAATTTTCCGAAAAAGTTCGTGATTTTCGTAAAAATTGGAAAAAAAGGGAAAATGAAGGACATTTATCAACAAAAAAACAACAACAAAACTTTTCCTTTTTTTTTTTCGACTTTCAGAATCTTGAACGGTTGCACCATTGCAGCTTTACAGTAGTTTGTCTTCCTGTTGTTGGTGGCTGCACTTTGTGGTTTTTGTCCGTTGGACTCACCAGCAGAGGGCACAAGTGATGAACCGCAGGAGGAGGGTCCTGGACTTGAAGAGGCTGATGATCGTTTTCAAGGTGCCGTCGCTCTCCGCCGACTTACTCTCCTGCATGGGAACAAAGTAGTGTGAAACCTCAGCCCCCCCGTTCGGTGAAATGTCAAAAAATTTGCATCGGGAGACGAAACATTTCTAAAATATGAGAATACAAAGAAGTAAGTACGTATCGCCTCCTCGGGGCCCTCCCCTCAAAGCCTACTCACCGCCGACTCCTTGGTCTTGACGTGCACGCCGCTCAGCCTCTCCTCGACGGTCACCTTGTTGATGGCGGCCACCCTGGCCACGACGGCGTCCGCCTCCTCCAAGCGGCCGACGGCCACCAGCCAGCGCACGGACTCGGGGGTGAACCTGAGTTGTGAGAAGGGGGAGGACACCGCGAGGGGTACTTTACTATCAATCCAATTTTCTATTAATATTTTTCTTGTTTTTTCTCATTTTTCTGTTGTTTTTTTTTTTTCATTTTACCTTCTCTTTCCCTGATTTTTTCTGGTTTTTTTCTGATTTTTTTTTTTTTTAGTGAAGTACCCCTTGGTGTGGCCGTGAACACTCACCAGAGCGGGATGGCGAAGACGAGGCCGCCTCCGTAGACAGCTCTGAGAAGCCACCGCCAGTCCCGCACCGCCCAGGCCAGCGCGCCCATGAGGGCGTTGCCGCTCGAGTAGAACATGCCGACCAGGGTCGTGACGAGCACCCGCTGCTGCGGCCCGACGAACTCCAGGGCTGCTCGGGGAGGTCGGGGTTGTAAGACACGAGCGAGTTGTTAACAGGAACCGCGCGCTTTTACGGTTGAGGCCGCTCACCCAAGAGGAAGCACGTCGGGTACACCCCGCCGCTGCAGAACGCGTTCAGGAACTCGAAGAAGAGGAACATGGTGAAGTTGACCGAGAAGGACTGGACGATGCCGGACACGGAGGCCACGACCCACGACCACATCAACAGCGTCTTCCGGCCGAACCTGCATGACGACCACGACTCTTTTATCCGACGTTCCAACGTCAGCTTATTGACAGGGTATTTCGGAATGCTTCTCGTTTGGCCTATGGCCTCTCCTACCTGTCCGATAGGAAGCCCGCCAGGGGCATGCCCACCATCCCGCCGAAGGACCCGATGGAGCCCACCAGGGCGAGCTTCCACTTGTTGTCGTCGCAAGTCAAGTCCCACTGCGAACAAGAGTAAAGTATACAAGGTGTCACACGCGGAGCAGCCACTGGAGAAGCCTGACACATCATCGCCGTCGTCCGCGAGGTCACCAGGACGTCGGCGTGCCCCTCCCGAGACCCGCGCACCTCGTTCAGGATGGTGCTGCGCTGGCCCGGCTCGTAGACCCAGGCGCCGCATCGCTCGGTGCGGGTCGTGTCGAACAGGTCCGCGCTGCAGGTGCCGTTGCC